GGGCTGGGATGAAGGATATTGTTAGCCTAGGGAGACATTATGAGAGGTAATGGGAGCAATCCTATTTCTGTCTCGTGCTGGGGGCAAAAATTTTGGCGATGTAAGAGTAAAGACTGATTGGGGTAAGGTCAGAAATAGAGTAATTAGGGGATGGGGGGAAACCCCTGTCTATGGGGTTTTGCCAAGGAGGGAGTTAAAAATAAAAAGGGTTGTCCAGGGAATTGGTGTCAATTGCGGGGCCCTGGACAAATACGTAAGGAAAATGCGAACTTTCATTGAAAAAGGGGGACATCTTCTAGGGCAGAAATGACAGTATGCCAGGGGTGGGGTTTTTTAAAATTTGGGGGGGGGCATGAAAAACAGTGGAGGGAGTTGTTAGGGGCTTTTAAAATGGAAATTTTTTTTTTTTTAAAAAAAGTAAGTAAATTAAAAAATATAGAAAGAAAAAAAAAAAGAGGGGGAAAAAACAAGGGGCCAGGGCAAGGGGTAAAATAATAACAGAAAGGGCAGGGGGGAAAAAAAAAAGGGGGTTTAAAATTTTTTTAAAAAAATAGTGCAGGTTTGGATAGATGGACGGGTTGGCTAGTTTAGTAAGTTAAAATTTGATTTTTTAACAAAAATGGTTAACAAAAAAAGGGGTTTTTTTTCCCAAAAGGGGGTTTTTTAAAAGGAGCAAATTAAAAGGGGGGGGTTTACTGTTTTAAAATTTTTTCTGGAAAAAATTGGTTTAATGAATAAAAAAAAGAAATTTTTTGGGGTAATTTTAAAATGAAAAAATTTTTGGGGGAAAGTTCCCCCAAAAGAAAGGGAACAAGGGGGATATAAAAAATTGTTGGTCGGGGCGAAAAAAAATCAAGGGGGTTTAAAGTCTAGATTGTTTTTGAGGGGGTTGTAAAGGTTCAAAAATAGTTCGGGTTGTTTTTAACATTTCCAAAAAAAATCCGCTTGAAAGGTTTCCCAAAAAAAACCCTTTTAAATTTAAAAAGGGAATGGAAAATACTCAAATTTTCTTCAGAAATGGGTTGAGGGAAATTTTTCGGGGGTTTTAAAAGAGATTAAAAGGGTTTTAAAACATTTTTCCCGGGACGGGGTTTTTAAAAAATGTTGAACTTTTTCCCCCCCCCCGGGAATTTTTTTTCCCCAAAAAATTTTTAAAAATTTTGGGGCCCCTAAAATTTTAAACTTTTCTTTTAACAAAAAAGGGAAAAATAGGCCAAAAAATCCCCTTATGAACTTAAAAAAACCCCCAAAATTTCCCCCTTCCCTTTTCGTTTTTTTAAATTTAAAGCAAAATCGCTTTTTTCCAAACCCCAAAAAAATTTAAAATTTTTTAAAAAATAAATTCTAATACAAATTAGTCTTTCCACTCCCCGGGTAGCCCCAACCCACGCTCAGGGCAAGAAACCCCTCAAAAACCCCTCTTTTTAAAAGGAATTTTTTTTAAAAAAAACCAATCCAAAATTTTAAAGACGAAAGGGGGATAAGAAAACAAAACAGGGGAAAAATTTTTCCCGCTCCCTTTTGAAAAAAAAAACCCAAATTTAATTAAAAACCTCACTTTTATTATGAAAGGCCACCAAAGTTTTTAAATTTAAAAATTTTTTCACTTTGGGGATAAAAATTGGGGGCAATTTGGACCAAAAACCAAAAAAATTTTAAATTTTAATCCAAAAAAAAACCCCCAATGCTTTTGTTAAACCCCTTTTAAAAAAAAAAAAAACCCCCCTTTTCAAAAAACCCCCCCTTTTTCCCAAAAAAAACAGGGCCCCCTTTTTTGGGGGGAAAGAGGGGATTGCGGCTTTTTGGGGCCTCAAAAACCCAGGGGCCGGAAGGGAAATAATTTATTTTTAAAACATTAAACCCCTTTTTTCAAAAAAAACAATTCCCGGGTTTTTTTTTTAAAAAAGGGGATTTGAAATTCCCTTTGGGTTAAATTTTCCCCCCAAAAAACCCCTGGAAAAAAAATTGGGCTTTTGGCCCTTTTCATTCCCTCCCACATCAGGAAACCCCAAAATTTAGGGGTTTTTTTCCCAACCCCTTCCCCCGGCCCCCTCCCCCCCATTTTGAACTTAAAAAAAAACAAAAAACTTTTTAAAATTTTGGGGGCCAAAAATCGGTGCTCAAAATTTTTAGAATATTTAATCTCAAAAAACAAAGGAAGGGTTGGGAGGGCAAGGGCCTTAAATTTTTTAAAAACACCGAATTGGGGAAAAAAATTTTTTAAATTTTAAACCCTAAACTATCAGTTTGGAAAAAATTTTCTTAATCCCTTTTTTGGGGGGGGGAAAATTTAGGGGGGAATTTTAAAAAAAAATTAGCCAAAAGGGGGTCCCCAATTTCTTATCCCCCCAAATAAAAATTAGGTTTTCTCCCGAAAGGGGAAAAGGGAAAGGGCTTGAATGCCCCCCTTTTTTTAAAATCCCTTAAAGTATTCGCCCTGGTGCAACCCGCGTTTGGACCCACAAAAGCGAAGGAAGGGGGGAGGCCCTTTTTTTCGATGTTTGGAACGGGGCCCTTTAAAAATGGTCGGGCTTAAAAAAAAAAAGAAACCCCAAAAAATTCCCCCAACCAATTTTAAGGGGGGGCCCTTTTTAACAAACAAAAAATCCCCCCCCCTCCCAAAACATACCAACTTCCAAAAAATAATTCTTTTTAAAATTTAAAATTTTTTTAAAATTTTTTTTTCATTTTTGGCTTTAATTTTTACCATTTTTCTTAGGGGGAAAATTTAACACAAGAATTTTTCCCAACATGCTTTTAGGTTAAAAAAAGTGGGCAAAGTAAAAAAAATAACTTTTTTTTTAAATTTGAAAAGTGAAAAAAGACTCAAGGTAAAAAAAATTTACTACTTTTGGAAGAAACGCAGGAAAATTCGGAAAAGGGAAGGGGTTTTTTAAAAAGCATAAAAAAAAAAGGGGCAAAAAAATTTGGGGCAAAACTAACCCAAAAATTTTTCCAGGAAAGAAAAAAAAAATAAATATCCCCTTAAAAAACCCACCCAAAAAAAAAAATTTCCCCTTTTTCAAAAATTTTTAAGATTAAAAAATAAAACCCCAAATTAATTTTTTCCTAAAAAAAAATTTTCAGCCTCGAATTGGTTCAAAAGTAAACCTTTTTAACCCTTTAATTTTCTCCATCCTTCCGGGGGGGCAAGAGTTTTAATTTTCCCCCCCCAAACTAAAAAAAACTTAACCTTTGGGGAAATGGGGCTTTTTTGGGGGGGGGGCGTATAGTAGCTTTAAATTTCCCTAGGGGCCCTAAAATTTCTGCGGGAAAAAAGGCGGGAAAGCCTAGTTGTGAGAATGGGTCTGTGTGGTGGGTGTGGCAGTAGGAAAAAAACCCTGGGCCCCGTGGGGCATTGGGGGAATGCCATCATAGTACAAAATTTTCCACTTCCCCTGCGGAAAAGAAGTTCCCACCCTCGGGGGAATTGGGACATTTTTTTCCCCCAGTGACAGTTCTAATACGGGAGGGAAGTGACAGGAAGATGAGTTTCAAGGTTTGGTGAGGTTTTGCCCCAAAATAATTTACCCTATAAATTTTGGGGAATAGGGAAGGAAAAAAACCCCCACAACCCCCAGCCTTCCAACCCCTGGTGTGGGCGGTCCCTTTTTCACGTTAGTTGTACCAGAATTTAAAGAGGAGACTCCAAATTTTTCCCAAAATCCCAGACTCAGATGTGAGCATTGGTGTTTATAGTGATGTTTTATTATGAACTACAGCTTTTTCAAACTTGGAGGCAGAGGAGGAGGGGCAGAGGGGAGGAGGCAAGAGGGGGAGGAGGCAAAAAAGGGGAGGAGGCCAGAGGAGGAGAAGGGGGAAGAAGAAAAAGGAGGAGGGGGAGGAGGAGGAAGAAAGGGGGAGGAGGAGGAGGAAGGAAGAAAAGGAGGAGGGGGGAGGAAGGAAAAAGAATCCCTAAAGATAACAATTAAAACATAATAAAAATAATAAAATTTAAAAATTAATAATAATAAAACATAAATTTAAAAATAATTGGTAATAATAAAAATAATAATAAGTTTAATTTTTAAATGGGCACCCCATAAGTAACAAGATAAGGGGGGGATAACCATTGTAAGTGCTGAAAGTTTGAGAGGGTAAAAAGAGGGTAGAGCTGATGCCCAAAAAATGAGATGAACATCCCCTTTCCCCTTTTTTTTTGTGGTATACTAACATTTTTGTCTGTCTATTTGCCCGTTGTCAAGCTCCTGTTATCCGTTTTGCTCTCTGTCTCAGAGGCCACAAAAACTGTGTCATCACTTTTTCCCATCTTCAAGCGAGTATGCACTTTGTCCCGGGTTTCTTGGGTTATCCTAGGTAATTTATACTATGTATAAATTGTATTTATGTGTACCGTGAGACA